CTGAGAAAGACAAAACTGCCACAGGAGTGGAATGGTAGTTCAAAACCTCAGCACATGGACCAGGCCAGTAGCCCACCTGGCTAAACTAGATGGAGTTGTTACTGCTCTCTTGACACAAGAAGCTGACAAGTTTATGTTGGGGTATTAGGGTGCCACACACAATGCTTACCCTAATGAACACAAAAGGCTCACCAAATCCAGGCTTACAAAGTCTCAAAGCCGGGGAGCTCTGGTGGCCTAGTGCCAAGAAGCTGTGCTGCAATCCCAAAGACATGCGGTTCCAATCCACCAGGTGTTCTCCTGGAGAAGGAGGGGCAATTTCCTCCTGTGCCAGTCAGATCTGATTTGATGGTACACAAAAAGTTAAAACAAACAAACAAAACACACACACACACACACACACACACACACACACACACACATACACAACAACCAACCCCAACAAACCACACAACAAAGTACCAAAACCTCCTTTGTGAAAACTCATGCATTAGTCTAGAAACCACAGGAAACCTGAATACTACCACCTTGTTATAAGTAAGCAAATAGGCCAGGCTAAATCAAAAGCAAAGGCAGATCAAGAACTCTTTTGAGAAGGCAGCGGCTCTACTGACAAAAGTGGAATACACAGAGCAGGCTATGCAGTGGGGCTCCACAGGTGGACTTGTAGCAAAAGCCAAACCTCTTCCCCAGGGGACTTGTGCCCAAAAAGCTAAACTGACAGCTCTTAGGTTATGAAATGTGTTGCTCACTGTCACGTGTACTCCCAGAAAAAGATAAGGGGTTTTTCCATTATGAGATCCTGTTTGCCAGGCCACGCCCCCTCCTCTGGGGATTACCTGATGACTTGGAGCAAATAGGCAAAGTAGAATTGCATTGGCAGCTAGAAGTCTTAGAGAAAATTAACACAACTCTTACCAAGTGTGTAGGAAAAAGATCACCTGTCAGCCTTTATACTCCAGTTCACTCCATTTCTCTGTGACATCAAGTCCAGGTCAAAGACTGGAGCAACACTCCCGTCCAGGCCTGCTGGAAAGGGCCACTGCTAACCTAACCACCACTACTGAAGCCAGGGTAGACAGCATCCTCCCTTGAGTTCAGTACTTATGAATGAAGCAAGCCCCACCAGATGGATGGAAGGCCATCCCAGTTTCTATATGACTACCCTCTGGCGATCATTGAGACCCGCCTCAGTCACCCCCAGAAGCTTTAGTCTACACAGGGCCAAAGTTTAAGATCATCAGGGATTGCCCCAACCATTCTAAGGGCTGTCGGTCCCTTGGTGATCAATGAGAATTGACCCTAGCCTAGCCCACCTTTGTACTGCTCCCCCAATGTACTGTTACCCCTAGTAACTCTTGTGCTCTCCCTAATAGTTCTGACATCACTCCCACCCACTGGGCCCGGTGTCAAAAGCTAAGCTTAGGTTAGTGCCACCTATTTTCAATCTTTGTATTGAGAGCCTTGTGTGCTATAAGTACTAGATAGCCTAGTCGGGCCACAAAAGAAAAATGAGCATAAGCCCACTATACATATTATTAGCTCATCTGAGTGTAGCCTTGGTCCAGGGAGAACTTTTAACTTTGAATGTGATAGCCTCTCACAACCCTATTGTTTTAGTTTGATGCATGACTCATATTGGATTGTGGAGAGCTCTATACTCAACAGTAGCTCTCAACTTAGAAGAAACATCTATGTCCTTTTACCCTCACAGGCAAAGATTTCTACTGAGGAGAGCACCCTATTATCAAGAAGTTCCCCACGTGAGGTGTTCATTGGACAACCGAATGGCTGATGGACAGCCAAAGGTGACTGTCTTCAGATGAAACTTAAGCTCTGTGTGGTTAGGGGTTTGCCACCTCCAAACTGCCAACCTTATTAGTGTAACCAATTTCCCTTTCACCAACCCAGTAGTCGTGAACCATCCCTCACCATGGTATGGGCCAAGGGCTGACGTCTATGGCCAAGATCCTATAGGTACTCACTCTGGCTCTCCAGACTGTCAATCCATGCCAGAATCCAGATCCACAACTCTCAGCCCTTCCTCCTAACTTCACGGAGCCAGCCCTGAATCCTAATGATCCTGCCAAAATACAATAATTGAAGTGAAAATCTAGTTCAAACCCTCAGCATAGAAACAGGGTATGAAGATGCAAATGTCTGGTTAGAGTGGGTTAAATACTCTGTTCTCACTTTAAACAAAAGCAGCTGTTTGACATGTGCGACAAAGAGACCGGAGACTCAAATTGTCCTCTTCCCACTAGGATGGTCCCTAAACCCTTTGGGCATGTGTTGGGGGTTTTTTGGTTGGTTTTATGTTAAGAAAAAAAAATGTATTTAGAATTAGCCAGCTGGACTCAGTTTAGATGATCCCAAGTTTGTGGGCAACATCCAAAGCATCATAGTCAGGAGCAAGTCGAACATAGGCCTTCTTCTCTCCATCAGGTCTAATCAAAGTGTTGACCTTAGTCACATCAGTGTCATAGAACTTCTACTTCTTCTTCTTCTTTTTTTTCCCCGCCTTAGGATTTATTTGTACAAATAGCACAGAGGAACCAGCCCCATGCAGATGGCAGCAGCCCAAGGGGTCACACCAGTCCTTCAGTCCTCAGATGGAGAACTCAATTATGGAGCCTTTGCAGGGGCCTGGGCACGTTAAGGAGCCTGACTTGGAGCAAGAGCCTGGGTTGAGGCCTTAACTGGCGCCTGAGTTGGAGCCTTGGCTGGCGCCTGAGTTGAGGACTTTGCTGAAGCTTCGGCCTTACTGTCAGCTTTGTCTTTGGATTTTGGCTGGTTAAGCCTTAGCAGTGAGGGCCCGAGCACACTTCCCAAGCCTGGGATGGACGATGTAGGCGAGTCGGCTGAGCTTGTGGTTGACACTCCTTGGGACTCTGGGCTTGATCTTTTTGGGCTTGACAAGAGCCTTCACAGCCTCGGCGCGTTCATCCATGGCCTTGGCATTGTTGGCCTGCGTTTTCTTCAAGCCCCTGTTGTTGTGCTTCTTGGCAAAGTGCATGTTCCTCAGGAATTTGGGGTCGACCCCTTTAAGAGACTCCTATCATTGCAATCTTGGTTTCTTGATACCATTTCTGTGCCATTTTCAGGACCAGTTGTGTGTGGTGTGGTTCTTGGACTTGGCCATATCTGCACTGTCACCACAGCTCCGTCATAGAGTTTCTCTACAGTTTGTTTAATTTGGCACTTGTTGGCCTTGACATCCACAGTGAACACAACAAGGGGAAACTTAATGAAGGCATAATGGTCAAGTTTATTTCTCCTGGGGGCGCTCTTCCGGGGGTACTTGGGCTGCCTTCAGAGTCTCAGCATCTTAGACAGCTGGAAGGTGGGTGTCGTGTGGATCTTCTTTTTTTTTTTTTTTTTTGGCTGTGGACGCCCTTCAGGACTGCCTTCTTGGCCTTTAATGCCTTTTCTTTGGCTTCAGTTTTGGGAGGGGCAGGGGCTTCCTTCTTGGCTTTTGGCGCCATCTTCGTAGAAAGGCTCTATGGGCATGTGTTATACGGTCGCACTTTTCCAGGATCCCACAGCGGGAGGCGCTGCAAATTGCTGATCGTTATCACTGTTCCCCGAGGTCAAAGGTCTTTTGGGTCAGCCCCTGAAGACCATCAGGCCACTGGCCTGGAACGACAATTTCACCGCATGCCTGTCTAGGCTTGGGGAGTATCTGACGTTGCCAGGAAACCTAACGGGATACAGTGAAGATCGACTGTTAACACAGTTCAACCAGTCCGCCATGGTTCATCAACATGCCGACGTCTGGTGATATTGTGAGAAGCAATTATTTGAAGTTTTGTCAGGAAATTGGAATGGTATTTGCACTCTAATTCAATTGACCATCCCAGTTACTCTGGCGTTCAAGTCATCTACAAAGCCCATGCAGGAATCTTAGAACAGGAGGCCACTGCTCACAGATCATTTGCCCCCAGTGTTTACATTGACCTGATGGGATGGTGGTTTGGTAAATGGAAAGGTCTAATATCTGCCATCCTTACTCCTCTTATTATTGTGATAGGACTGTTAATTGCAACTGGATGCTGTATTATCCCATGTGCTTGAGAATTGGTTCAGAGGCTCACAGAAACAGCTCTCACCAAGCAGTCTCCTCCTCTACCTTATTCAAGTGTCATCCACTTTCTAAATAACATGCCTCTGGAAACCCTATGAGCTTCAATAAATGTCGATAGTTGTAGGGGGGCTTCAGGCCTTTTGTTCATCGCCTAACTATGAGTCATGCTCGACTCGAGGGCAATCAACAACTACAACAACAAACCCACTAAACAATCCTGAAGGGTTAGGCAGAGTCCTTCTATACCCCATAAAGAATCTGACTCTGAAATATAAAATGGAGCTGTTCAGCTCAAAAGAGGGAATAAGGCAGGTCCAGGCCCAAGAAGACACTAGCTAAGCAAAAACAGGAAACCTGTTTAGCAAACTTGACCTCCAGGAGCGGTTCTAACCATGTAAGCAGACGCCCAGCAATAACAGAAAGAGTGGTCCAGCAACTGGAGGTTGGCTGCCTAGTAACCAAATGAAGGCATTTTAATTAACTTGTGACCTTTCTCCCTGTGCACCTAAGTGCCTTAAAGCCCCTTTGCCCAAAAGGTTTGACTAACCAATCATAATGTATGTCAAAACCAGCCACTAGGAAATAGATCCCAACCACCACCTCCTAAGACGTTATCAAGAGACATTTTTTTTACATCTGGGGAGCCTGATCCTTGAAAGGCTGTGATCTCTGCCAGTGCTCCCTCAGGACAGGTGTCTTCCTTGCTCCACAGAAAATGCTTGTAGTCACCTGGAGTGGCTGGACAGGAGGTCGAATTCCTGCAGCAGAATCAGCCAGTCCCCACCCCTTCCCAGGGGCTCTTAACCTTGAGATTGCGGAAACAGACATAACATGGAATGGGGAGGTAAGTAAGGGGTTGGGCAAAGCCAGTGAGCAATAGCTGAAGACACGAGGGACTTCTGGACTAGTTTTCCCCATGGACCGCACTGTGGTGCTCATCACGGGCTGCTCCTCTGGCATCGGTCTGCACCTGGCCGTCCGTCTGGCGTCAGACCCATCCCAGAATTTCAAAGGTATCTGGAGAGCCAAGGATACAGACAGGCAGCAGCCCCCAAGTCCAAGAGGGCCAAGAATGGGAAATCAGCTCCTTCACCTTTCCCTAACCTCCAGTGTATGCCACGCTGAGGGACGTGAAGGCTGAGGGCCCGCTGTGGGAAGCAGCCCAGGCCCAGGGATGCCCTTCTGGCTCCCTCGTAACCCTGCAGTTGGATGTGAGGGACTCCGATTCTGTGGCTGCTGCCCGGGCACGCGTGACTGAGGGCCGCGTAGATGTGCTGGGTGAGTCTTCCCTGTTCTGAGTCCAAACCTGCATGCTGGAGGCCTGGAACCCAAGGGGGACATATGCTGAGGGTGGTGGGTGAGGCGGGCAGGTTGGGTCTCCCTCTCTACAGTGTGTAACGCGGGCCGGGGCCTGCTCGGGCCGCTGGAGGCGCACGAGGCGAGCGCTGTGAGCTCTGTGCTGGACGTGAACGTGGCCGGGCTGGTGCGGACACTGCAGGTCTTCCTTCCAGACATGAAGCGGCGCCGCTCTGGGCGCGTGCTAGTGACCGGGAGCATGGGCGGCCTGATGGGTGAGTGGCCAGGGGGTGAAGCGAGGCCCGGTGATGTGGGGTGCTGCAGCTGGTGTGCCTGTCCCCACCCCAACAACCTCATCTCCCCTCCAAGGGCTGCCCTTCAACGCCGTTTACTGCGCCAGCAAGTTTGCAGTCGAAGGTCTATGTGAGAGTTTGGCGGTTCAGTTACTCCCTTTTGGGGTTCAGTGAGTCACTATCACACCCTAGCCCCTAACCTCCGACCACAGGAACCCCAGCACCCCATCTTGATGGAGTTGTTCTCCCTGCTCTTTTCATATTTCTGGTGTGGCCAAGTATCTGGTATGCGTTAGCTCATTTCCCCTAAGGACTCTGCTAGTTCTTGGAGCTATTGTTCTTAGGAAGAATAGGCCCAGAGACTGTAGTTGATTGGCCTAAGGACACACAGCTGCAAGCTGCTGACTGCAATTCCATCGTCATAGCCTCTGTCACACCCTCAAAGGGATCCGGGAGAGGGGCCCCGAAACCCGCTTCACCCGCCGCTCTCCGCCCGCAGCGTCAGCCTCATCGAGTGCGGCCCGGTGCACACCTCCTTCCAGGAGAAGCTGGAGGGCGGCCGGGGCGGGGCGCTAGATCGAGCGGACGCCCACACGCGCGACCTCTTCTCCCGCTACGAGCGCCACAGCGAGCGCATCTTCCGCGAGGTGGCGCAGGACCCGGAGGAAGTGACGGAGGTGGGCGCCGGGTGGCGCCGGGGAGGCGGGGGAGGTCGTCGGTGTCCGCGCCCGCCCGCCCACCGAGCCCCCGCCCCCCTCGGCAGATCTTCCTCGCCGCACTGCGCGACCCCCGGCCCGCGCTGCGCTACTTCACCACCGAGCGCTTCCTGCCCCTCGTGCGCCTGCGCCTCGACGACCTCAGCGGCCGCGACTACGTAGCTGCCATGCACCACAACGTCTTTGACGATAAGCCCCGCGAGGCTCTAGCTGGGGCTACAGGATTGGGGGACCTTCCTTCTGCTCCTCAATAAAGACTTCGTCCTTTGTCTTCAGAATCCTCTTTTGAGCCGGTCTGATGTGAGGGGAAGGGCACTGATGACCAGAGGACTTGAGAGGCTGGACTGGGCCTTTGGAGGGAGGATGCTGGCAGCAAGTTAGTGAGCAGGGGCCATCATTTTAGTCTTAGCTCTCCCCACACGGAAACCCGGGGCCAGAAAGAGGATCTCGCTCCTTGAGGTTCACGTCACGACTGAGCTGGGGCACAGGCCGACCCTGGATACTCAGAGGGGTCTACAGCATTAAGGCACGGATCCAGATTGAGGTTATCAGCCGTAGGACCTGAGGCTAGAGTCTCCCTCCCCTCAGTTGATTTTCTTATCTGTAAAATGGGTATAATGTCCGGCTCACAGGTGGTGGTTAATTGCAGTCAAGCCTATTCTGACTCGTGGAGAGCCCCAGGTATGAAAGAGTCAAAATAAACTCTAGGATTTTTAAGACTGACTTTTTGAAAGGTCTTCCTCTAGGTGGGTGTAGTGTGTTGTTACTGTGTTCCATCAAGCAGATTCGGCTTCAAAGTAAAATAACAGAACTAGTACTGAAGAGCAATGGTGTCTCTCTGGAGACTAAGGTGCGTCTGATACAGGCCATGGTCTTCGCAATCACCTGTTATGCATCAGAGAGTTGGACAATGACCAAGGGGGATAGAAGGAGAATTGATGCCTTTGAGCTGTGGTGCTGGAGAAGAGTATTGAGAATACCATGGACTGCTAGGAAAACAAACAGATTTGTCCTGGAAAGGGTTAAACCGGGTGGCTCCTTGGAGGCAAGGATTCTGAGGCAACAAGTATACACACTGTCCATTGCACTGACATGCAAACCCCAAACCCTCAGTCTGATCTCCAGGTCAGTGCCCACCCCGACCCACCAATCTGTGTTTGTAACATAAGCATCAGTGATGGTTAAAGTTGTGTCAACTTGATCGTCTAGGATTCCCTGGTTTAGAAGTCATGAGTCAGAAGAAGCCTCGCTCTTGCCAGCTTCCTTAAGTATGGGAGTTATTTCATGGAGGTAACTCAATTGATTTCTCTTTATCCATATATGTCCTTGAGCACACACGGCTCGTTTTCTCAACTGTGAAGGCCTGGATGATTGTTCTGTGCCTTTCCACGTGCGGATCCTTGGAGTGGGAGAGATTTGGGTTTGGGATACACAACCTCTAAGATGCCCACCTTCGTCCCCAGATACTAGTTCTTGCTATCTCGCAGTCTTCTAGGTGATCCGAAGGCCACCGTCAAATAGGTTTTCAGACTCTCCTTGTCCTCCACCGCCTATTCTCCAGTAGCTCAGACATAGCACCGAACACGCACGCAAAGCGTAAGCCCCGGGACTTAGCCCCGCCCCCTCGGCGGGACACGCCCCACATCTCGCCAAAGCCCGCGAGAATCTTACGCCGCACCACTGTTACAATGTATGAGCTTTCTCACTTTCCGTAGCCCAGAGTCCAGTTTCTGGATCTACGGGTTCCGGGTCACTGCTCCGAGTAGATTCATCGGCGTTACAGGCGGAGGCAGAGCACTGGTCTTCAGTGAGTAAGGGCTGGATCTCAGTTCCCCCTTTACTTCACGAACCCTATTCCATGAAGCCCCCGGTGCAGCTTAGCAAGAGGGCTTAGGACTCCTGGATCTTTAGTTCTGTAACTCAGGACTCCTGCTCAGATTCCCACTCCTAGCATTTCGATTCAGTTCAGCTATTAATTCACTACCCTGTCCAAGATGAGGAAACCGAGATTCAGAGGACAGCGAGGTATGGTCTGCAACTCCCTCCTTATCAAGGTTCCTCTGGATCAGCCATTGAGACTCTGACCCAGACCCGGGCCCCCTCCCCAGAATCCAAGGTCCATTCAGCTGCATTCTCCTCAGACTCCCTCGTCTCATCTCTTTATCCACAGGCCTGGCGACATGGCCGTGTTCCGGTCTGGCCTCCTGGTGCTGACAACGCCTCTGGCCTCCCTGACCCCTTGCCTGGCACCCATCCTAACCTCAGCGGCCAAACTGGTGAATCAAACACTCTACGTTCATCTGCAGCCTGGCTTGAGCCTGGAAAGCCCTGCTCAACCGGGGTCCAGCCCTGTGCAGGCCACATACGAGGTCGTCGATCTCATAACCCACCTCTATGCAGGCGCCGATGTCCATAGGAACCTGGACGTCCGAGTCCTGCTGACCAATATCCGAGCCAAGAATGCCTTTCAGCCTACCCTCAGTTCAGTCCAAAATCTGGCCCATCCGCCAGAAATAGTGCTCACTGACTTTCAGACCCTGGATGGCAGCCAGTACAACCCAGCCAAACAACAGCTGGAGCGCTATGCCACCAGTTGTTACAGCTGCAGCCCACAGCTTGTGTCAGTGCTGCTGTATCCCGAGTATGGATCGAGGGAGCAGTCTGAGAAGCCCCAGGGGCTCCCCTCATTCTCCACCATCAAGCCAGCCTCCACAGAAGCTAGGTCTCCAAAGCAGCGTGTCGGTTGCTACAACCACGGAGCTGTGGGCGGCACATTTGACCGCCTGCATAATGCCCACAAGGTCTTGCTCAGTGTTGCATGCATCCTGGCCCAGGAGCGGCTTGTGGTGGGAATAGCAGACCAAGACCTGTTGAAGAGTGAGTAAGAGGGATCCAGGATTAGGGCAGTGGGAGACTCCACATCTTTTTTGCCCTCTCACCTTAATTAATCCAAGATGGAGGGAGGCGGGGACCATCTGTGAATTCACACCTCTCCTAAGTGAGAAGAGCCCAGCGCTTAGGTGGTGCTAAGGAAATTTTGTAAAGTGCAGAAATGAAGCTTTCTCGTTGTGGGGGCCAGTCACCACCCTGTCATGATGACTCCAGATGTGGAGCTAGAGAAGCTGTTCTTGAACAAGTGCTCCAGGTGAGGAGCCTTTAAGTGTGCGACCTCCAGATCAGCAGTTAAACGAATTTTAGGTAGTAGTGCCAGAAACGGCCTTTTAATTGTTTTTGGTCAAACTTTCTTCTAAGTGGTATAGCACTGGTCTGTCCGTTTGCTGTACAGAGGTAACTCATGGTTGCTGTGATGCTAAACACTGTGACATTGATGTGTCTAATGCGATCATGGTTACTGATGGTGGACAGTGTTTGGTGGAGCTTCCTGATTAAAATAAGCTTGGAGGCAGGGGTGAGGTCCACTTCCAAAATAGTTTGCCTCAGAGAACTCTATGAACTTGGAAAAACAATGAAAGTTATACAGGTGTTCAGGTCTTTTGTTTATATGGTTGCTACGAGTCATCTATATCTTGAAGCACTTAACAACAACAACAAAGTGCCTTGAAGCACTTAACAACAACAACAAAGTGCCAGAGACAATAAGAGGAGATGCAGGGACAGTGTTGGATCGTGTCATTCTCGCTCTGACTCATGCTCACTTGCCCTGCTCATTTTCCTGTAACTTGTTCTCTGGGCGCAGGCTGGCCCTTCCAGTAACTACTGTGCTGGCCTGCCTCCTCCCTCCAGGCCCCCTGCCTACATACCACTTCCCAGCTTAGCCCTTCTTCCTGCCACTCGCTCTACAGATACAGTGCCAAGGGTACCCTTTCCTAAACAGTCCCACATTATCAGGGGTCTTGCCCCAGTAAAAAGATCTCACTGTTTTCTGGGCTCCTTCTCTAGGCAAGTTGCTCCCTGAGCTCCTCCAGCCTTACGCAGTACGTGTGGAGCATCTAAGTGAGTTCCTGGCGGACATCAAGCCCTCCTTGACTTTTGATCTCGTCCCCCTGCTGGACCCTTATGGGCCCGCTGGCTCTGACCCCTCCCTGGAGTTCCTGGTGGTCAGCGAGGAGACCTCTCGTGGGGGAATGGCCGTCAACCACTTCCGCCTGGAGAACGTAACCTCTGAGGGAGACTGGCTGAGGGAATGGATGGAGATAGGGTCATTGTGGGAGGCTTTTGAAAGTAACATAGTCCCAAAGGAAAGAAGAGAAGGCACTGGGTAATGGGAAGAATCAGAGAGGAACTGCATCCCAAATGTTTCTGAATTAGAGGAGACCCTGGGGTGTGTGAGGAGAAAGAGGGGCCAGTTAGTGTCAGAGTTTCCCTTTCTTGCACCTCACCCCTTCTCCCCTCCCCCTTTACCTCAGGACCTGGAGGAGCTTGTCTTGTACCAAATCAAACTCCTGAAGGAACCAAATCAGGAGGAGAGTGATGAGGATAAAGTCAGTTCCTCCAACCTCAGAAAGCAAATGCTGGGAAGCCTGCTTCGGCCACCACATGTAGGCCCCCTGACCCTGCTTAGTGGGCTGGGCATGCTGAAGGATGGAGATCGAGGGGTTACTTGGTATGAGCCTGAGGACCCTGGTAACTGTGGGGTTCCCTCCCTCTCATCTACTCCCAGAAAAGGCCAGAGCTTCCCCCAGATCTCTACGTGCTTGGCTTGACGGGCATTAGCGGTTCTGGGAAGAGCTCAATTGCTCAGCGGCTGAAGGGCCTGGGGGCATATGTCATCGACAGTGACCACCTCGGCCATCGGGCCTATGCCCCAGGCGGCCCTGCCTACCAGCTTGTGGTGGATGCCTTTGGACCAGGTAATGACTGAGCAAGGCTAGAGGTGGCCTGAAATGAGGAAGGTTCCTGGCCTCTTTCTCAGACCCTCATCTTTGTCATTCAGATATTCTCCACACAGACGGCACCATCAACAGGAAGATCCTGGGCAGCCGGGTGTTTGGGAACAAGGTAAACACCACCAAGGGCTCCTCAACTTCTTTTAACACCCAGGGCTTGAGACCCAGTGGACCTCTCTGTTCTGGCTCAGAATATACTGACTTATACTCATTGCTCCAAATGACCATCTCTATGGACTGGCTCCATCTCTGAGAGAAGGGAACCTCTCTCTGCTCTTATCTCCCTATCCAGAAGCAGCTGAAGATACTCACAGACATTATGTGGCCAATTATTGCAAAGCTGGCCCAAGAGGAGATGGACCTGGCTGTGGCTAAGGGTCAGTAGCAAGGATGATTAGAGCATCCAAGAAGGAAGTTGGGCGGATCCTGAGAAGTTTCCAACCCCACCCACCAGACATTTTTTCCCCTGGGATTATGTTTCCTGGGTTCTGTGATTGGTGGCAGGAGGCAGGGCGCTGCTAGCAGTGACTATACTCTCCCCACAGGAAAGCACGTGTGTGTGATTGATGCCGCCATGCTGCTTGAAGCTGGCTGGCAGAACATGGTGCATGAAGTATGGACCGTTGTCATCCCAGAGACTGAGGTATGTGGACACCACCCCTCTTGCAGACTTTCCTGCACTGAGCTCGGGCCTGGGCTTGGACTCCTTCCTGACCTGACCAGTGCCTCATCTGTGTCCAGGCGATACAACGCATTGTGAATCGTGATGGCCTGAGTGAAGCTGCAGCAAGAAGCCGGCTGCAGAACCAGATGACTGGACAGCAGCTTGTGGACCAGAGCCACGTGGTACTGAGCACCCTGTGGGAGCCTCAGGTCACCCAGCGCCAGGTTGGTGCCCAGGGAAATTCCGAGTTGTGAGGAGGGAGCCGACCTGACCCTGTCCACTGTTCTTCCTTCAACATCCTTATCTTCCCAAGGTGGAGAAAGCCTGGAACCTCCTGCAGAGTCGCATCCCCAAGATGCCGTCAGGCCCATGAGTGGCGCACAGTTCTCCGTGGGGTCACACTGGCCCCTGGAGCTGGGAGAACATCCAGTGACGAGAGCACAGAGGGCCTCAGTGCTTACCCGGGTTTGGGTCAAAGGACTCCAGGCTGCGCTGGGCTAGGCTGGACCTCCCCAGCCTGCTAGGAGGTAGCTAACAGTGAGAGCAGACTCATGAAAGAACAGGCTCCTGTGACATTTTGTCCCCATTGTCGCTCAGGAGTGTCTGCATAGCTGTCTGGGGCCAGGGCAAACAGTGGAACTTGTAACAGAATTAAAGAGGAATGTTTCGGGTGAATATATCGTGTCTACTTCCTGCTCTCCTGCCTCTAGGCATCCCTGGAACCCTTGATGGAACAAATACCTTGAGCGAAATTGTAGGAGCCTGGCCTGAACGAGAAGGCAGGCAGTTTAGAAGCTAGGAACAAGACCTCTGGACTCCTAAGCTTGAGGTCTGCCCTGTACTACCACTAACTAGCACTGTCCTGTCGGATGAATCACAAACTTTCTTGGGACTTCCAATTCCTAATTTACAAAAAGCACACGGTTTCTTTGTGAAGTATCTTGCTGGACTGAACTGAATGTTGGGAAATCATCCCCGAACAAGCCTGCGAGGTCTCCGCCCTTGACAGAGGCTGCCCCCTGGTGGTCAGCCGCTGGGAAGCTCTGCCAATTTCAGAACCGCAAGTCGGAGCAGCCTGGAAACGCGCTGCCGAGTGGACAAGGCTCCAGCAGCGCGCGTGCGCAAACTGCAAAAACTACGGAGGGTACCCCACTTCACAAAACGTGCATCACATCACCGCCCTTCCAGAATGCCTGATCCCAAGAATAGGAGCTGGCTGACAACCCGTAAAATGTCCTACAATCTCAAATTCAGATTTAAAGCAGCGGCTTGGCTGTACTTCTTAAATCTTGTGGTGTGCATGCGCGACACCTCCCCTTGTCCCCACCACGCCCCATCCTTGGCCTCAGATTGGTGGGTTTGGGTCACGTGTGTGCACCACCTCTTCCTCGCAGCAGGGGGCTCGCCCGCTGATTTGTTTCCGGTTTGGTGGGTCCAGAATGACGGATCCTGTCGCTTCGCCTGAAGACCCCTGGGTCAAGGCAAGCCCCATGGGCGCGTACGCGGGCGAGGGAGGGCTAGTCGGACGCATGCACGTACGTGGTTCTTTGACTCTTCAGTCTCTCCCCCCCCCCCAATTCTGGGCCCTGGGGCTGCAGAGAAAACAGTTCTCATTGTGCGTGTGTTCAAATGGGAGACTGATGAGTGTGCGTGCCCCTGTGAGAGATTGGGGGTCCTGAAATGACAGAGAGGAGAGGGGCAGGGTCCTGCTGCCTGGCTGATCTCTGTGGGGGATCATGCGGCTGCAGGAGCGCTCAAAATGTGCGTGTACACGCACACACAGTGAATTGGGTGCCTTCCCTCAGGGACAGGGGTCTGACGAGCTTCTTCCTTGCTCGGTGCCTCAGGTGGAGTATGCCTACAGTGACAACAGTCTGGATCCCGCTGGTGAGTGCGTCTCCACACCTGTATCTTACGGTCCTCAGCTCAGAGTGACACTCCCACTGCAGTTCTATCAGCTCTGTGACCTTGGTAGCCACACCTGAGTGCAGTGCTCTGTTGAGACAGCGAGGGAAGAGCTGGAGGACAGGGGCAGGAAGCACTCGAGAGTGACATCGAGTCTCCTCTGTTCTGGGGCAAGGATGTGATGGAAATAGTGACAGCTGGTCATTCTCTCACACTTATGTCCAGATGCCCTGGTGAGAGCTGGGGGTAGTATTGTAGGCTGTGGAGCTGGGAGACATTAGAAGCAGCAGCAGTGTGACATGGCAGGAAGTGAGTGGCCTGGAAGGCTAGCTTTGGAGTGGAAGGGTACGGGCTAACTTGTAAGGATCAGGAAGCCTCTGTGCCCAGAGGTCCCTGAAGGCCTGGCAATGTTCCCCAGCTCCTAGTGATTGGAGGCTCTCTTTTCCAGGGCTTTTTGTAGAAAGCACCCGAAAGGGGAGTGTAGTGTCCAGAGCTAATAGCATCGGTTCTACCAGTGCCTCTTCTGTCCCCAACACAGGTAGGCAGCACCATCTTCTACCTGGGAGGGACTAAGATAAATGATCCTGTTAGTATATTTCCTAGATAAGGAAGCTCCTTCAATCTCCATGGGGTTACTGGAGCCCTAGTGCCAGACATAGAGTCTCATCATTTTTCACTTCACCTAAGATATTAGGTTCTTCTGTCCATCTTCCATCTCTGGGCACCAAGTTCCTCTCCTCCCACAGCTGGGTGAAGGTGGGGTACCTGGTCCCTAGTGGGCCCCAGGTTGACCTCTCTTTGCACCCAACTCTGAGTGTAGATGATGAAGACAGTGATTACCACCAGGAGTCCTACAAAGAGTCTTACAAGGACCGGCGACGGCGAGCTCACACTCAGGCAGAGCAGAAGAGGAGAGATGCCATTAAGGTGAGGGGTGGGGAGCCCTGTGCTCCAGCCAGGGCAGAAGAGCCCAAACAGATAATCCCAGCCCAACTTGAGGTCAACTGATCTAGTTCCAGGACTTGGATCACCTTTGTTCCTCTAATCCTGCCCCCATCCCTTGGAGCTTAGAACTTGGTGTTTTAGAAACTCAGCTTTGTGCAGATTTGCCTTAACCTCAAAGAATCTTTCCTCTACTGTCTCCGCAGAGAGGTTATGATGACCTTCAGACCATTGTGCCCACCTGCCAGCAGCAGGACTTCTCCATTGGTTCCCAAAAGCTCAGCAAAGCCATCGTTCTACAAAAGAGTATGGTCATGGAGAACACTGGAGGGGGGTGGCACAAAGGACTGTGAAGAGGCTAGTGCCTTTTACTCACTCAGCTTTGCTCTGGGGTGTTAGTTGTAATATGATGGCTAGAAGCAGGGAAAAATAAACCAGTCTCGTTCCTTGTCTGACATTCTGTGCCCTCCTACTCTTCCCCACTTCCCTCCTACTCTTCCCCACTTCCACCCCAGCCATTGACTACATCCAGTTTCTGCACAAGGAGAAGAAAAAGCAGGAGGAGGAGGTGTCCACACTACGCAAGGACGTCACGGCCCTTAAGATCATGAAAGTGTAAGAGGGGTGCTGAATTGGAGGAACCACATCTTCTCAGGGGACTTTTGAGTCAGACTTCAGTTCGTTCGTATCTTTTGTCCAAAGGCCACCTCAGGAACTACAGTACAGGCAATATTTCATTCCCTGAGGTAGCCCTGTCTCTTGAAGGCAGGTCTCTCTGTCCCCAGGAATCATGTGACACATAGTAGATTCTGGTGGATGGATTATACCTGCTGGATATTTGAAGGGAGGGAGGAAGGGAGGATATTTGAAAGGAGGACCACTATCACTAATCCAGAAACAGTATGTAGCTGATGCTGAATCCATCCCAAACGTTCTCTGGACTACATCTCTCTGGGGTCTTCCTGGGAAGGTCCATGAGTAAGCCATCACCCACTCTGGACCGGTAGAGCTGCAGCACCTCACCCCTGGCCTGCTCACTTTCAGGAACTACGAGCAGATTGTGAAGGCACACCAGGACAACCCTCATGAAGGGGAGGACCAGGTGTCTGACCAGGTCAAGTTCAATGTGTTTCAAGGCATCATGGACTCCCTCTTCCAGTCCTTCAATGCCTCCATCTCGGTGGCCAGCTTCCAGGAGCTGTCAGCCTGCGTCTTCAGCTGGATCGAGGAGCACTGTAAGCCTCAGGTATGGGGCAGCGATGGTCACGGAGGTGGGGGCACATTCTTAGATCTCCTCACCTTTAGGCAGAGTGACCCAAACCATCATTTGTTCAAGAAAGCCTGGTATCTGTGCACCAGTGGAAATTCAAAGTCTCTGTAAACTGTCATTAAAATGAAAAAAAAAAAAAAAAAACCAAAAAATTAAAAAAACCCACCCAAAACCAAAAAACCAGCCACCACTAAAAAACAGAACACACACACACACAAAGCCTGGTAGCAGCTTTCCAGTTTCACCAGGTGCATCTGCAGCTTGCAGCTGTTTTTCTCCTTCTGTTACCCCAGATTTGGTTGTTAGGATTTTGTCATAAAAATTATTTGAGCATGCAGTGCATGACCTACCTGTCATTCAGATGTTGTTCAGCCCCTATATTGCTGCCTCCTTAGCCTTTCCTGGCTGTCCAGTGTGTAAGCTTAATCACCTGTGGCAGAATAACTTCAGAAGTTTTTGTGAAAAACCAGATTTTCTGGGCCCCATCCTGGGCCCACTCGTCCACCTACTGTTGTTATGTATCACTGAGTCTGAACCAAACTGTAGCTGACCCTCCAGCAGGTTTTCAGAGGCTATAGATTGCCTGTTTTTCCCTCAAGGAACAGCTGGTGGATTTGAACTGCCTGTCTTTGGGTTGGCAGCACAGCTCCTTACCATTTGGCCACCAGAGCTCCTTGTAGGCTTACTACTATTATCTGTAATGGAAAGCATATTAACATGTTGCCACAAATGATGGCTATAGTGAAAAAAAAATGTGTTTCTAAGCACGGTCGTCAATTTAAAAGTGTGCGGCAATGTGTTAATAGTCTTTTGCATTTGAAGTCTTGTGGCTTTTTTTTGAAGACTTGAATTTGAACCTGAGATTCTTGTTATTTCCCATACAACTTCCCATACTTTAATTACATACAACAAAAAGTTACATGTGTGTAAAATAATTTTACACATTCACTGAGACACTTGCACAGTGAACACTTCTACACCTGCCACCTGAATTTTGCTGTTAATGTTTTACTGTATTTGCTTTATCACATATCTAAGTCATCTCTGCCCTGGTCCATCTGTTTTGGAATTGTTCCAAAGTAAGCGGTAGACTTTAGCACACTCCCCAGGGCTGCTTTTAATGAACTCTGACGAGACTGCCTGAGTGGAGCATTGCCTGGTATTGCTCTTTGTCCTCTGAGGGTTGGTCTCTTCTGCTGCTGTCCCTTCCAGACCCTGCGAGAGATTGTGATCGGCGTTCTGCACCAACTGAAAAACCAGCTTTACTGACCAGCTTGGGAAACCTTCAGAAAAGCCACCAAGAGGCCCCTGAGCCTCCTGCTTAGCCACGGAGCTGGTGGGCCTGAGATTGGACTACAACACCTCACACCAGTCAGCTGGTTTCTACCTGGTGTTTGAGTCTCTTGCCCTCAGATGGCAGGCGTGTTTATGTTGTGAAAACTTCTGATTAATTTATTATGTTGACTGTAAAATGCAAATCTACCCAGTCTGCACTATCCCCTCACCCTGACCCTGTGTCACAGAAGTCCTCAAAACCCCTTGGCCCTTTCTTTAAACCTCAGATTTCTCAGGAGCTGCATGTATTTGCAAATGATGGGTGGTCTCCTGGGTAGTGTTTAGCCCAATTTTGGCTATTTTGGCAGAGTAGCTAGCTGGAGATAAAAAAGGAAAAGGAAATACTTCCACACCCAAGGGCAAAGGGAGCCTGAGACAGAGTATCAAGTTCCTGTCCTTACGATGCCATCTTCCGCTGGCATGGCCATAGGGGGACACAGTCTCCTGGCTCTCCATGCAGTAGGACTGCACCGCAAAATAGAAGTGACACAGTACCACAGGTTTAACGTTTTGGTTTGTTTTTTTTTTTAATTTTTCTATACAATACAGTTTTATTAAATTTGTAATTCTGGAAAGTCAGCTGGGCTTTAAGACCCCTCCTAGCCTCTCTTGAGAAGTCTGAGCCTGTTTTCTCTCAGTGCTGGCTGCATTTCTCCCCAGGTTAGAAGTGGGGCTACAGTGTACAGAATAAACTTGAAAGGCCCCCATGGGTACATGAGGCCAGCAAGTCCTGGACAAGGCCTGGGTTCTCAGATGCTGTGTATAGTCTCTCTAGACCCCTAAACTGAAGCTCCCTCCTGCCTTCCTCAGGTTTTGATTTGATTATCCAGAGGAAATTATTTTTTTATCAAATTATATTGCAATAAATCTTGCCAACTGCTTTCCTTTAGCATTGGTCCATGTCTAAGTGTCACGCTCAAGAGATTGCAGATGCCCAGTGAACAGGAGCACCACTTGGGACCACAGCCCCGCCTCCAGCTGCAGTCTGCTGGGCCTGGCCCACTCCTGACTACTCGGGGAAGAGGAGCAGAGCAGCAGAAACAGCAATAAAAAAAAGTCAACCCCAACCAGACAACCAGTTGAGGATCTGTATTCCCAAATCCCAGTCCTGTGAAAGGACCTTTCAGGGGTCTGGAAGCTTGACGTTGTAGTCCTCATCTGTTTCTATCCCAACTTCCTCCTGTGGAAAAGGCAATGAGAATGAGATTTGGGGCAAAGACCTAAGAGGAACCAGGAAAGGAGAGACCAACTTACAAAAAACTGCTTCTTGCTCTTGGGGTATCCTTCAAGAATTGCATCACACAGCTCTGTTGCCTGTTGAGAAACAAATGCCTCCTCTCACATGGACAGTTCTGGAAACGTCTGTGAAATCCAAGGTAGCAGGCAGTAGTTTCTCTGGTTAGTGCTGCTTTCTGAAAGCCTAAAACATTTCCAGACTGGCATTCCGGCACACTTACCATCCGCTTCCGTTTTCTCCACTCCTTACAGTACTTCTGCCTGTCCTTGTACACCTAGACAGAAGACAGGTTCTTCTGAGCCCCAGCACATGCCACCTCCTGGGAGTCAGCCCTTCCCCCTCACCCCTAGATCCACACAGATAGCCCTCCCACCCCTTCTGCTCTGCCCCGTGTACCTGTTCTTTCTCTTCTGGAGTTACATGGTTAGTGGCTGCCTTAATGTTTTGCAGTCTCTCTGAGTAGCCAGCACATTCCTTCCTTAATTCTTGGATCTCTTTCTGCATCTCCGGTGTGGTCAGGGAACTAGTTAACTCTCTCAGCTCTGAAACCACATCTCCCTGGAGTCAACAGCTACCCCTCAGGAAGGGGTTGTGGCTTTCACAGTGGGGACCCCCTGAGGTGGGATCTCAGGCCTTTGCTTTGCTCATCCATCTATCTACATTATAGAACTGCTCAGGACAGTAAGGTTTACAGAATTACTAGTTTATTCGATTTTCCTTTTCGTCTTCACTTGTAAGTAGTGGTGAGATTGAGCACTTAAAAATTGTCAGTTAAGGAGGCAGAAATAAAGGGAAATGGAGGATTACTATGCTAATAATCTGGCAGGGAGCAAAAATACCTGTCTTGCTTATTTAAATTTTAAAGCCATTAGTTGTTTTCTTTGCCTTTAAAATGGCTACGAAAAAGGGAGCTCTGATGGCCTAGTGGCAAGAAGCTGCAGTGCAATCCCAGAGGTACGTGGTTCGAATCCACTAGATGCTCTGCTGGAGGAGGAGGGGCAGTCTCTTCCTGTGCCAATCAGATCTGATTTTACGGTACACACACACACACACACACACGGTACACACACACACACACACAAAGTAAAACCGTTAAGCCAGCCCGGCAATGGGATCTGGACAGGAACAAGACATTGCTGTTAAAAAAGCACGCTTAGTAATTCCTGAGCCCAGAACTGAACCTGCTGCGAGGGGCACACGTCAGGGGTCCCCAGTCCCACAGGGCTCCCCGGTCCTACCGGCCTCCATGTGGCGGCAGCTCTGCTGCAGGCCCTGCACCTGCGCACTAAGGGCCACGATCTTGGCATCCAGGCTTTGGAGGTCAGCATCGCTCACCATGTCAAATTGGTCCTGCCCAAAACAAGAGGAAACCCGCGCTTGCGGCTGAAGTGAGGTGCAGAGAGGGGTAATGTCCATCTGTCGAGGCAAAAGTGCAGTATGCCTAGTACTCCCCCAGGCCACTCAGGGCTGGATGAAGAAAGGTACCTTTTCCCCTAGGGGATAAGTCCTAAGTCGTGGGTTTCAACAACAGGAAAACTGGGCAGATGACAAGCTGTGCGTTTCACAGAGCCTCAATGCTCCCCAAAAGGGGGGATGCTAGGAATTGCTCGTTGAGCCCTCACATGAGCGATGACCTGCACAGACGTCCCCTCACCTGATCTGCAAAATATATCTTCTGCTTGCCGTACATCTTCTCTTTGATCTTGCCTTGCTGGGCCAGCTGTTCCAGCGCCTTCACCACCGCCTGGCAGAGGGGAGGGGGCGGAATCAAAGCGCCTAATTAGACCCGAGTGGGGACAAGGCAGCGAGTGACGCGGAAGCGCTGACCGGGCAGCTCGAGAGGACAGCACTCCTGCCTCATTCGAGGGGTCTCACGGGACAGCGACCCTGGACCGGGTGCTCACCGCCTTGCCAAGTCCGTGTTCCCGCTGCAGGTTCCCGAACACGTCCTGGGCGCTATAGGGGCGATTCTGCTCCTGCAGGTATTTCAGCAGCAGTCCCGAGGCTGTGGAGAAGGGAGTCGACGGGACAGGGAGTCACTCGCTCGCACGCCTCACCGCTCCTCGCCTCAGTTTTCTCTGGACCCTCTCACCTACCTCCCGCCGCTGTGTCTGCCCGGCTTTTGCTCATGGTCTTTCCCGCCGCCAAACTCAGAAAACCGGACGTTGACGTTGCTCGAGGCAACGGCTTCTTCCGGCGCCAGAGAGGCCAGATCGATGATTGGCTAAAAGGGACACGGCCCACAAGCCGATTGGCTCTTCCCGGACACCGTAGTCGCTCTTCCTTCTCAGGCGGAAGTCGAGGTCCTCCAGGCTTTGCGGGGTGGAGCCTCCCAGCCGGAACCTCCCCCCTACCCTGAAGCTGGACGGCTCAAGTAAACGACTCGCTAAAGTTTCAAGACCGTTTCTCCCAGCTGAGTATTGATGTCCTGAGTTAGGTAGGCTCAGAGTATTTGAACAAACTTTAGAGATCAACCTCTGCACTGGGTAAGGGACTTGTTCCGACTTGTTCAAGGTCATAGGGCTAGTAAGTGACCTCAAGATCCAATACTATTTTCTTAGGTCATTTCATTATTTGTAAACTAGGAATAAAGATGGGCCTATGTAAACGTACTAGCATTGCACAGCAATGCAGCAGCACCCCCCATATGCCCGCCCGAGGCTTCACGGAGTGCTCGACACCTGGGGGTGCTCCACAGCAGCCGTCGGATCCGAAGGAAGGTTCTGAGGGGGTTACTCCTAGACCGCGAAGATTACAGAAAAGCTTCCTACTTGTCCAAACTCTCGGCAGCACCTGGCAGGTGCTTTCCACGCCTGCCCACAATGGCCAGTAGGGCAGACTGAAATAAGTATTTCTAGTTTCTGAGGTCAGCTGAAGGCCAAGGAGCATCTGTCCCTGCAGCTCAATCCTGTGAAGGTAGGGAGGGCATGGCGCTACTTTTTAAAAAAGCATTCTGCTTCCTAAGATCTCACCAGCCCCTAAAACGTAAATGTCTTCTCACACTTTGGAGCTAAATGTGAAGAATGAGAAATGGTGACATCGCAAGACAGATGCAAACTGAGCCAAAAGGCCAGTGAGCCTGTCCAGACTCTTCCAGGGACGGCAAATGCTTTCCACACTATGGTGAATGGTCCTTCGCGAAGGGAAAAGGGGTCAGCCAGGTGGGGCTGTCCCTCTTCAAAGCAATCCTCTTAGATTAACAACAGGAGACATATCAAAGATAGGACACTATTCAACAGTCTCTTCAAGATTGTTCTCAAACAAGATTTATTCCCTAGCACTTACCCTTTACCCCCAATTCACAGTGGAGGGCCAAGGAGATTCAGAGCAGGACCCCCAGGTATAGGAAACTACTTCCACTATTTTGCTCTCCTTCCTTTCCTCCCTCCCTCTTGACAACTCCCAAGGCCTGAAACTACACACACTGATGCACACACACAAAATCCCACTCCTTTCCTACACTTCCCATTTCCCCCCCCATCAGAGCTCACCTATAAGACATCCAGGCACAGAGGAGAGAGGTGCCGAAGTCTGTTTGTGAAGCCCTAAAGCAGGGGGGTGCCATCACACCTTTACCCTTCACGGAAAGGTGACCATGAAGCAGGCGCCTGGCTCTTCTCTCTCCTGTTATCTTCCCTGGCCTCTGTATCTTTCCAGTGACCAAGAGCAAACACATCAGCACATCCCCACTTGCAGCACATGGAAATGGGCTCTGTCCAGCTTCCCTCACCCAGGTATGGGAGTGCTGGGGGAGTGGTCCCTGAGGATTGGCAAAGGTTAATGCAGAGGGAAAGAGGATAGAAGAGTTTGGCTTGAGCTCTGATTGGAGAGGCTGTGGGCTGGCACAGACTTCATGACCATTTTGGAGGTTTTGTCTCACATGATTTGACAGGGAGCAGTAAACAGATGCCCCTTTGAGGGGTCTCCACTGATAACAAGACACATTTTTGCTAAGCGGGCGCATTCTTAAATGAGGCCCTGCCAAGACAGGAAGCAGTCGAAAATAAAAGCAGTAAAGGAGCTCAACAGGGAGTAAGAACAGCTGGTGCAAGTGAGCTGTGGCTCCTGGGATGAATGCCACTGGGTCATCTGTAAAGTGCTACTTCATCATCCACCATGGAGTTGTCATGTCTCCAAAAGAGGTGCGGGGGGAAGGAGCAGGAACACAGAAATGGTTATGGTATTGCTTAGCTTGCTGCTGAGGCTGACGGTCCAATGGAGCCAAGGGTTAACAGCACCTAAGACAAGCAGGCAGCTCCAGGGGCTTCAGTGAGAGCAGGAGGCGTGGACGCACTCTCTCTCTCTCTGAGCTTTCTGGCCTGCCGACTCCTATGGCTCAAGGGGATGCAGAAGCCCATCCCCACATCCGGTTCACATTTCTTAAATTTCACAAATGTTATCTTGGAGGACTGAAGGTCAGACCTCCAGGAATGAGGATGGGCTGGAAGAGGAAAAGGACGGAGAAAGAGGCCTCCTATGCAGAACCAAAGGTTAAGCTTGCTTAGAAATAAACCCAAATTAATCATGGTTTAACAGCAGAAGAGGACAGCATTGTAACTCTTCTAGCTGTTGTCTGACTTTGGAGGCTCTAGTTGATAAAAAGAAGGGAGGGACAGGGCTCTTCTCTCAGTGAGGGCCCCCCCGAGCACCCATACCAGAAAGGAAACAGCAGCACCCCTCAAGGGGAAACAATACCCCTGACTACTTTGTTCCCCAAAAGTACCACCAAGATGGAGAGAGTCCTCCCTTGGGGCACTAACTCTCATATCAATCTCTGAAATCATATGATATCCAACTGATAGCAGGGGAATATCCTCTCTAAGCAGGCCTCGGAGCATCAGCCAGGCCATCCAGCATACAAATATAATTCAGGGGATGGGACCTGGAGTCTTCCCTTGCCCCTTCTCCTAAAAAGATGGGGAGGAAAAGAAAAAAAGTAAACCACAGTGCCCCCCGACCAAAGTCTCTGCCTCAGTGGCTCCTGGAACTAGCAGGGTCCAGCTGATTCAGCTCTGACTGGTCAAGAAGTTCAAAGTCATCCCCCTCCGCATCAGTGTCCAGGTCTGAACTGGGGGCCCGGAGGAAGCCTCTTGTTGCTCTTCGGGGAGCGTGGCCTGAAGGGCCCGGCTGGGATGCCCCTGACAGGGCCAGTTGGATCATACCCTGGGAGACCAGACTGGCAAGGTTGCTGGTGAGGTTAGAGCCTGCAGGCAGGGCACCAAGCAGAAGCCCTGACAGAGCAGCCTCATCCTGGCTTACAGGAGGGGCCAGGGGTTCTTCAGCCCTTGGTGGGGAACGGTACATCAAGCTGGGCATCCCAATGCTAGTGTCGTCTTCATCCTCCAGGCCAGCAGGATCCACATTGATGGAAGGGAAGTCTGGAAGGTCTCTGGCAAAGGATTCCTCTGGATCACTGTGACCATCCAGGTCTGAGAGAACATACAAATGTGTGAGACATGGCAGTTGCTTGGCCTTCCTGTGCCCTGACCCAATGAAGAGGCAGCCCTATATACCAGCTCCCTCCCATCATAGAGTTCTCAGGTACAGCACACCCTGTGGGACCAGTCACCTTTCCCCACCACTTACAGATGGCTGTGCTTTCTACTGACCTGAGCACACCCTTCCCTTCCTACACTATGTCACCTGAGGTGACACAAACTTGGAGCTATTAAGAATTGTAGGTTTCAAGGAAACAGTAGCGTCACCCTCACTAGTCATAGCCCTAAGGCTACCCTGCTATCAGATCCCACAGCTCAGAAAACAAGACACGTAGGTAGGGGCACTAGTATCTGGTCCCATAACCTGGGGTAGCTGGGAGGCAACAACAGAGTCATTATCAACTTTGGTCAAAGGTGCTCTCACCTTCAGAGCCTTCTGTTAGAGGTGTCTGGCCCCTGGAAAGATTGAATGTGCCATTATCTGTACAGGAGACCTCTGCATCCGAGTGCTCAGAGTCTGTGATGGCCAACTCCCTGGCAACAGCAGAATCATCCAGCTTAGGAAAGAAAAGACAAACAAGCCTGAGGAAGATGATGTCACAGGAACCAGATGCAGTCCCCAGGTACAACTTTACTCATTAGCTAGCCTTAAAGACTGCCCTCAGACTACTGTGTAACTAGATAGCCACTGGGACCCTTTTTTAGGATGCTTCCCTAAGGAAACCCCCTAATTCATCCTTCCTGGTGCAGAGGAAGGAGAGGAGTCTGGGAATCAACCAAGCCACTTTCTCTTAATAACTGGTTTGTTAGTGGTGTTTGCTGTCAGGTCGGTTGGAACTGACCCATAGCTGACCCTCCAGCAGGTATTCAGAGGCAGTTAATCACAATCGCAAAGGAGGAGACTGCTCATCCTTCTATCATGGGGCAACTGGTGGATTCAAACTGTGTGCATTTGAGGTTGAAGTGAAGCTTCTTGCCACTAGGCCGTCAATGCTGCCTGGTTTAACTGATTTAGAGGTTACTTTTCATAGGTGACCGGAGTATAACATTCTAAAGGTAGTAGCCTGGGATGTTTAAAAGAGGATCACAAAAGCTCCAAGGTAAGGGAGCTCTGGTGGCCTAATGGCAAGAAGCTGCACTGCAATCCCAGAGGTACGCAGTTCAAATCCACTAGATGCTCTGCTGGAGGAGGGGCAATCTCCTCCTGTACCAGTCAGATCCAATTTGACGGTACACGCATACAAAATAATAAAAATTTTAAAAATATGTTAAAAAAAAAAGGCAGCTCCAAGTTTCCATCATTATGGTGGAATTAAAAAGGAGGCATAAAAAAATGTGTAAGATCCAAGTACAAAATCCCAGCTTCTCTTCCTATTACTGCTCTTGGGCCCAAGGGGCATCTAAATTCTTGGGGAGCCCACCATGACCTTGAGACTTTATTACTGTCAAAATGTGAGGAGTGACGTGGTTCACAGGAAACCAAAGATCACTGGCCAGAGGAGCAGTTCTCCACCCAAGCTACCTGAGGACAGAAGGCAGCAAGCTCCTCTTCACTGTCACTGTGGTTGTCCACGGCTCCCTCGGGGTGGAGAGCTCTGCGGCGTACTGAGAAAAAGCAAAAGACTGTGACACTCTCCCTGGGGAGGGGAACCTTCAAGGAAGCAGCACTCTCAGTCCGTTCTAAGCCTACATAACAATGCCTGAGGAACAAGGGATTGCTGAGTCTAAGGGCCCAATGGGCTGGTAACACAGGAGAGAAAGGTCTCTCTTCTAACATCCCTCCCTCCACCAACCCCTCAACATTTTTTATAATAGTTTATTTACAAAATTCGAATACATTTTTTTTCCACACCAGGTCCTTCCCACTTCCCTCACACCCTTCCCCATCAAACTGTGTGATCCCATGGTTAATCCTCCCCTGCCACACATCCTCACCCCTTTACTACCAGGCGGGTCACCAACTCTCAGAATCAGCTAAGGGCAGACCCAATGTCAGGTGGAGAGCAGACACTATCACAGGGTGGGCTAAGGGAGACTCCCTGGGAGCCACACGCAGTTCTCTTTGAAGATGAGATGAATCAAACACCTAACCTGACTAGATTACAGAGGAGAGAGAAAGAAGTTCACACTACTGTCCTTCATAGGATAGGTGGCTCTCAGTCTGGATATTTTTAGTGTCTGAAGCAGTTTTTTAATTACTTTTAGAAGGCAGTTTTCAGGAGGAAAAAAAAAAGTGCGTGTTTAGGCGTTTAAAAAGTCTGCTCTCCTTTCTACGAAGATGGCGCCGAAAGTGAAGAAGGAAGCCCCTGCCCCTCCCGAAACTGAAGCCAAAGCAAAGGCATTGAAGGCCAAGAAGGCAGTCCTGAAGGGCGTCCTCCACAGCCACAAAAAAAAAAGAAGATCCGCACGTCACCCACGTTCCGGCGGCCTAAGACGCTGAGACTCCGACGGCAGCCCAAATACCCCCGGAAGAGCACCCCCAGGAGAAACAAGCTTGACCACTATGCCATCATCAAATTTCCCCTGACCACTGAGTCAGCTATGAAGAAGATAGAAGATAACAACACACTTGTGTTCATTGTGGATGTCAAGGCCAATAAGCACCAAATTAAACAAGCTGTAAAGAAGCTCTATGACACTGATGTGGCTAAGGTCAACACTGTGATTAGGCCTGATGGAGAGAAGAAGGCCTATGTTCGACTTGCTCCTGATTATGATGCTTTGGATGTTGCCAACAAAATTGGGATCATCTAAACTGAGTCCAGCGGGCTAATTCTAAATGTAATAAATTTTTCTCACCATAAAAAAAAATAAAATAAAATAAAGTGCTCTGCCGTTTACTACCTCAGTCTCAATTTCCTCAACTGTAAAGTCAGATAATACCACCTAATTCTCTAGCTAGCTTTAATTGAACAAGATAATGTACATCGAGTGGCCAACAGCTAAGCCTTGGAGACATGGAAAATTCAGCTCATATTAGGAATGCCCTTACTATCAGCTTTTTAGTCAACTCAGAGAACTTTTCCCAGATTTGCTAAAAATCAAAGACTCGAAGTCTAAATGGAAAAAATCAGTATGCTTTTATATAAATTTCCCTGTAACAGAGTTACATGTTCACCTGACACTCACTTCACCTCCTTCCTACCACTTCCCTGACTTTCAAGGATCTCCTCACCGTGTTATGAGCCCTGTTAACGGAGAGGCTCATGGTTCAAACCATGAGTTTTGCAGAAGATAGACAGTCTTCTCTCATAAAGATTAACAGTCTTAGAACCCGACGAAGGGCCACCGTGAAAAGACCTGACTCAATGGCAAAGGGTTTGGTTTTATTTGTCCTGTTTGTTAGAAATACTTCTCTTCTACAAATTACCCAACTAGAAGTCAACCTCCTTGTAACACTTACATTGTCTTTCTCTCTGTTTGGACATCATGTAGCCACGAACACTGAAATCCAGCCGCTGAAGAGCTGGCTTCAGCCGTATATATGCTCGATCCCACAGTCGGTGGTACACAGCAAGGGGCCACATCATGACAGTGACAACTGGGAGGAGTGAGAAATAACGCTGAAATAGAGCTGGGGCTGCCAGAAGCAATCCTAACTGTCCCTCTGGTGCTGTGTCATTAGGTTCTGGACACTCAGCTGGGAAGATCCCTGCTCGGTCCAGACTGTCCAGTCTCCTCTTCCATTAGTGGAGGTGTGAGGCTGGGAGGGGATTTCCTGCAGTCATCCGCAGTGCCGAGTACAAAGCTCTGTATTCAAAGGCAGTCCAGACATGCTGCTAATGGGCAAGAGTGAAAACGCAGACAGTGCAGTCAACTGCATGTGGGGATCACCGAGCCATTTAATGAGGCCAAATGGTAAAAATGCCTCAGAAACTATCCCAAATCATGCACAGTCCTGATATGATCACTGCGATTCACATTCTTCCAGCCCCAAATGATAGTTCCTATGGCACTAGGAAGCAACTACATTTATAAGTGTTTCAGGAAGGGAAAAGTATTGTACAGGGAAACAGCACCTAGTAGAGAATTCCCTGAGAGTTCTGTCTGGCTGTTGTAAATTACACCCACTGTCAAAATCCCCTCCTTAAAGAAGGGCAGACAATCCTTTAGAGTTGCTAATAGTCTATGCTAGTGAAGCTTCATCAATTTCTAAATCTGACTTGATAAGAAAAAGACCTTATATGAGTAGCCTGATTAAGGTGAAAGATATTTCATGATATTAAACAAGTCATAAAAATTTATAAAAAGGCCTTTTCCCAGAGAATCAAAATATTTAAAAAATTATAAAAAATATTTTTTAAAAATCCCTCTTTCCAGACACAGAATTAGCTGTGGTTGGGAAAGCTAGGGGCAGAGTAGAGCTCACAGATGGAGTGATATGCCATACTTACGCATTAAGTAGGACAGCAGCAGGCCAGGGACATAGTTCCCCAAGACAGCCAAGAAGGTCAGTATCCCACAGCTCAGCAAGCAGAACTGGGAGAGTCAGAAACAGTGTTATATTTCTACCTTATGAAAGAGAGCGGGGATGCGCAAGGGGGGACAGGTGGAGATCTAACTGAAATGATTCTTTACGAGTCAAGTGTGAACACATCAGAATGACAGATACAGTCACGTCAGCATCTAGTGTTGATTCAGTTTGAGGGCAAAGAAGGATGTTCATTTCTATTCAAACTCCTTTTATGTGGCCAACCCCACAGCCTTTCATCCTGGGAAACTAGTTTGAATAGGACCTTGCCAAAAATTCTCTCCAAAAGCAGGTGTTGGTGTGGGTTTTTTTAAGTTAAAGCAAAACAGTAGTAATAATTTTTTTAAAAAATTAAACCAAAAAAACCCAGCAACCTACCACATGTTCAATACGACAAACGCACACAAGCAAGCTTTGTCATCGCTGACTGGAAGATGGCCTCCTCTAGTGGCAAGCACATCAAACAAAGAGTCATCAAGCTCCTGCCTTAGACCTAGGCGCTGTGAGGAAGCCCCTCCTACAACTTCCCTTTGTCTGCATGTATCATGCCGTCTCCTTTCTTTCTTTAATGAGGGTATGTAATATAAGGGCTGTTTCAGTTTAACATGAACTGAACTGAGAGGCGAAAGATGAAAGTGAAAAAGGGAAGAGTCTTACCTTGCCTGGGTTTTGCTTTTTGAAAAGCAAAAGATTCCTTATGAAAATGGTCCCACTAACCCAGACTTCAGCTACATGGTGGCAGAGCTCGGGTACGCTGAGCAACCGAGGGTGCACAAAGCCCCAGCTATGGGAGAGAGAAGGGGTAGCTGTGAAAGGGGGGTGCTGAGAGACCCCCATTTTTCTGCCCCTCTGGGAGCTGAAGATTCCAGTTTTAAAAAGTGGCCTGGGGTGTTCCAGGTGCTTTGGAGGTGAAGCGTGACTTTCTTCTTGGCTCATCAGGTTGAAACTTGAATTCAGGGACTAGGAGGGCAAACTTGTTCTGACAGCTCCACCCAATGAGCAAGCAACCTAATCTGCATGTATAAGCCTGCCACCAGCTCTGAGGCCCTTTGTGCTTAGAAACATCTTCTCTGCACGGAGACCATTGCAATTCACTGCAATTGCAATCCAGTAAAGCACAATCTGACACTCTGTGGAGGGTGGGGGTCCTCAGAGAGGCAAAAGGGAGAGACAATGGTGTGCCCCTCAAAGAGAAAGGAAATAAAGGCAAAACCAAAATAAACCAGAGCAGAGCAAATTCTTTGAATTAAACATATGGAGTGAATGAACAGAGAGAAATGAAAGCAAGACTTGAAGACACAGAGGAATCTTTGGCTTGCTGATACCAGGAACCAATGTGTTTTCTGACCTGTAACTCTAAGTAGTCAGAAGTTACAGAAAACACTAAAGGACCGGGGTAGTAAAGCCAGGAAATAAGTCAATTGCTTCTAAGTTTTCACACTGTCCTGGCATGATAGGTTATAGGGAACTATTATGTTTCTTTCTCAGAAATTTCTCTGTAAAGATCAAAACATAATTGCCTTCTGAACATACAGCTGCCTGAACTTTAGGATTTGTTGAAATGATTATTTGAAACAGACTAGACATAAAGTTCTCTATGTATACTTTGTGTCCAAAACATGGGGTTAACAACATGTAGACAGTATATTACAATAAAAGAATCATTCAGAGCAACAAAAAGGGATTTAATTAGTGTTCCATACCTCTCATTGTCTAATGCGTCGGATCTTGGCACTACAATATTAAAACAAACACCAGCATTAGTTGGTAGGGAAAACTAAACATGAAAATGTTAGGTTATTGGTCTAATAGCTCAGTTTTAATAGGTTTGGGGAAAAGAAAACAGTACGAGTCAATAAAAAGATGACACCACATTATACTGCAGGAGTTAGGGAGCTACAGACAAGAGAATGATGGCTTACCTACTCATTTCTCCAAGGGATGGGTCTGAATGGACCATTATCCTCCTTTTAATTATTACAGCTGAAAACCAAAGTGTACAAGAAGGAAAAATGGTCCACCCACCGCTTGAGTGTGTCTGAGCTGCTCATACATGTCAATGTGGGCCAAGCTACCAAGGCATGTTGTAACGACTCCAACCCTAGAAATCAGCCTGGGCTTTTGAAGAGCTCTATTATCTACCCTCAACAAAGTCTTTTAACACTCATCAGGCTGGTAAACTACATAATTCCTTGAAATCCCTTTATAGGATGGGGATCCATTTAAAAATTATATGTTGTTGTTATGTGCCGTTAAGTCGCCTTCAACAACTCTATGTACAACCCTGCCCTCTCCTGAGCAAAACTCTCCGACACACCTATTCCCATTACTCCAGTCACTGAATCAATCTATCTCATTGAGGGTCTTCCCCTCCTGCACTGTCCCTCCACCCTCTCGAGCATGACGTCCCTCTCCAAGGACTGGTCCCCTGGTTTAAATATCCTGCCAACAATTCAAAATTAAGATGTCTAAAACCTACATCAATTTTCCTTTCACCTCTATCCAAACCAACTCCCTTGTCTGACTCTGCCTACATACACACTTTGATAATTGTAACAGTGTTCTCCCACTATTCTAACCTAGAAATCTTCAAGTCAGCTTCCACTCCTAACCCTTCTAACCCTATATCCTGGTGTTCTTCATCAGCCTTGATGTGTCTTCCTTTCTCAAAGCTCTCCAAGCTGTGTATCATTTGTTTCCAAGGACATTTTCCTGTCTATTTCTCACACACATAGCACTGCTACAGTCTCCTGAAAGGACTCCCTCTTTCTTCTTTTGTTCCTTTCATATGTTACTGAAAATGATGCCATGTTAATCCTTAAATTACCATCTCAGCACATAGCTCTTAATATTAAAAAAAACAACAAAACACCTTACTGACCATTTCATACAGGATACTGTCTAAACTTCTCACTTTAATTTGATAAAAATCTAATTACAACAGTTTGATTTCCCTGGACTCCTTTTAATGAACTCTTCAAGCCAGCAAAAATGATCTTATCCTTCTTACAGGAAATGTTTTGCAGCTTCTGGGTCTTTACAATAATCAAACTATTGGTCCCTCTAGAAAAACACCATCTCTTCTCTCCACCTGTCTAAATATTTTACTTTAAAAAAAACAACACATGTATTATTAATTTCAATGAAAATTTAGAGAAATTTTGTATTTCCATTCATTCATTCATTCATTGTTGCACTTTTCTCCCATCCCAACCCTCCCCCTAAATATTTTACTTCTTGCATAGCTCCTTGTAGGGTCCAAGAAACAAGACAAATATAACATGATATACTGCACTATGACATTTCTAGTATTGGTCTGTAATTGTCATTTCATTTTCATGTGTTTATGTGCTAGTACTTAAAAACAATGCATGATCTTTCAGAAAATGAACCATATCTGAGAATACTTGATATAATTATAAATGTTTAAATAATGCTTTGCAAATAGACAATTTTTAAATTGATACTGCCTTGGGAAAGATGAAATACTTTATAGTAAATATAATTCAACAAGGAGAACTGTCTTTCAAGTGGCAGGTACAGATTTCTTGAACTTAGTAATAATGGCAAAGTATGAAACTCAGCACTAAGGAATTGCAAACCCTTGCAGTGTCTTTTAAAGAAAATAATTCAGACATCAAAATACATTCTCTAACTCTGAACACTTCCTCACAAGCTCCCAAAATTACAAATTAAAAAAGAAACTACAAAAGGCCATTTTCTGTTCACCTTATTCTTAATGCTCCTAAACTCACCTTTTATTTCAGGCCAGATTTTGTTTTTCCACTGATCTATACACACAATAATCATCAAGCTGAATGCAAGCAAAAACACAAGACGAAGGGAAGTCAGTGCAAAGAACCTACAAAGAAGGAAAAATAAAAGAAAGATTACTATGTAAACAAGTTTGTTTCAGAAAAAAGCTTATTACACTACAGGCTCTATGAAAAATAAACTGGAGTACTGTTTTGTTTTTTGTTCTGACACTAAGATCACCTTGAGTAAATAACAAACTTTCTGGGTCTCAAGTATTTTACCTATAGGGCAGAGATAATAATTTGCTCCATAAAGGCAGAAAATTAAACCAAATAACTTCTTAAACTCCCTTTCAACTTGAAATTCATCCTTGATTATGATGATAGCAGACACTTTTCTTTCAAATTGGATCCTAGGATGATAAGGCAACAAATGTAGCAGTCAGTATTGGAAAGCATTCAGCTCAATTAGCGATCTAATTGATCTTTAGGAGCTGAAGCCCAATGAAAGAAAATGACTCGATAAAGACCACATAAAAAGTTAGCATTGTGTCTACATCTAAATGTCAGTTCTTATTATTCAAAGGATCAACCAGAAAAAGATATTTACAAACAGGGCAATCTGAACACTGAGAACACATGTGATGTTATTAATATTTAATTGCTCATGCAGTAGTGGGAGTAAGTGTGTTGCAAACAACGAGGTTGGCACAGGATAGAGTAGGGTTTAGGGCCCTTGTACATAGGGTCACTATGCACATAAAACAGTAACAATGGTAATGTTACAGTATTATTATTATTATTTTTAAATTATGCCTCAATCATGTACATCTTTTTCCCCTACTCCCTCCTTCCACCTACCAAACTCTTGTGATTTTCCCTCTTCCTCACCCAGAACCCCTTTGCCCCCACCCCATCCCACTTTGTATATCCAAACATATCTCACTGGTTACCTTCTGTTTTTACAATAATGCTTTATATTGGTTTTGTTCTTACAAACTCAAGTTAGTTCATTAAGCATAATGCTCTCTTGCCTCTCCTGTGCTATACAGTACTTTTCAAAATCTTTGCTTTTGAGTATTCCATAGTATTCCATCATGTGATTGTACTAGTTTCCCAATTCATTTGTTGATGGACATCTGGGCTGTTTCTATGTTCTTGTTATTGTGAATAATGCTGCTATGAACATCAGTGTACAAATTTCCATTTCTGGGGGAGTTCTGGTGGCCTAGTGGCAAGAAGCTGCACTGCAATCCCAGAGGCGTGAGGTTCAAATCCACCAGATGCTCTGCCCGAGGAGGGACAATCTCCTCCTATACCAGTCAGATCTGATTTGATGGTACACACACACACACACACACACGTAAAATTAATTAAAAAAACCCCAAAAACCAAATCTCCATTTGTATCTCAGTTCTGTGTTTCTTGCGGTATATTTCCAGCTGTGGTATAGCTGGGTCATATGGAATCTCTATGTTCAGCTTTTGAGGACACGCCAAACTGCCTTCTAGTGGTTGTACCATTTTACAACAATGTTTTTAAAAATTGCTGAGCATATCTGGAATTTTAATCCACCTGCAGCTCCCATGGATAAAGATAAGCCGTTTCTTCCTGTTAAGATTTACAGCTTCAGAAACCTGACAGAGTCGTTGTGAGTCAGAATCTACTCAATGACAGGCAATCTGGCTTAGTGATTATGCATTTGGAGAAAGATACTAAAATATTTATGAATTAAATGATAGGATGTCCTAGACTGGCTTAAAAATAGTAGCATGACAAGGGAAAAGTGAAAATAGATGAAATAAAATTAACCATAGTTATAATCAAATCTGGAACTATAAAAATTACTAAATTTGGTAATATTAAAGCTGAATGATGAGTACACAGAATTCTTTCTTTATACTACCCTCCCCATTTTTGCATATATTTAAAATCTTATCTTTAAAAACCCCACCACGGCTAGTTTTTATCGTCCTTTCTAGGCTACTGACCTAATGCTCCTAAGGCAGGGTCTTGCTGATTAGTCTGTAAGAAGGTAAGTCTAAAAACTGAAAGCATTTAGACATTTTTATAGTGATATGACCTCATTTTTAAATAACACAATTGAATTTCTGCATCTTTTTAAGTTTAACCTTTATATTTCACAAAAGTATTGGAATGCAACAGATTGGAAAAGAAATACACTATTTTCACCTAGGAACACTCGTGTAGTATGTCTTTCACCGCTAACCATCCTTACCCTCACATTTGATACCTTTTTAGGCTTATGGCTACTCTGATGTAAAATTGTGCCAGAGACATTGTTAATTATTTTTAAATAACAAATGAATGAAGGGTGGGAAACAATCAAAACAAACCTAGAAATCCAATCATTAATGACTATCCTAATTTTCCTACCCTACCACTGAGAAAACTGCAATTATACAGGAGATTAAAAGAAAGAAAACAGCTTGATAGAAATAAACCTCTTGAGCTTCCCCAGGCCACTAATCTCCTCTTTAAAGTCAATTCATCATCCAAACAAACAAGCATATTTAACAAGGCCAAGGCCAAGTGCTCTGAAGCATCTAAGTCCCCACCACTGCAGCTTCCATCCATGTCCCAGCAGCAGCATGTGGCACAACTGCTGTTTTCTCCAGAGCACCTGGAAGACACTCTAGGGAGGCAGTCCAGACGGTCTGCAAGCTCTCCTTCTCAAAGCATGATTACTGGCACAGACTAAATCAGGGGAAGGGAAAGGACTTAAAGTCTCTAAAGAAAGGCTGTTGTGAAGTGTCACTGAGTTGGCTCCAACTCATAATGACTCCTATGTACAACAAAACCAACCCCAGGCTTGTCCTGCGCCGTCCTCACAATCCCCACTGTGCTGAACCCGAATGCTACTTCACTGTGTCAGTCTATCTCCTTGAGATTTTCCTCTCTTCTGCTGACCCTATACTTTTTCAAACATGATGTTCTCTCCAGGGACTGGCCCCTATCAATAATGTGCCCGAAGTGTATAAGGCAAAGTCATCCTTGTTCTAAGAAGCACTTCAGTTTCCAAAAAAATAACAGCAATAAAAACACAATTTCTCTGAGACCTGTTTTAGGCAAGCTTTTACCTCCCTCACCCTCCAGGCTCATAAGCTATGCTTCAACTCAACAAATTTTATTGGACAGTTATTATATGTGGAGGTTTTATGGGGAAAGTAGCTTAGATTCAAAAAGAGGAAGACAGGGATCTTATTCTCAGGTTTATTTATTTATGTATGTGTATGTTTGAGAATAACAAAGAGGACATCTTACCTATCACTTGAAAAATAATAGTAAGAAAAAGGGCAAAAAGGTGAGAGGAAAAGGACCTTCAGATATTGATATATTTACAGACCTACAGAGTTTGATAAAATTCAAACAAAGAGCAGAGGACAAGATAAAGACTGGGAAGAGAGGCAGGAGTCAGATTAGGAAGGGCTTTCTGTGACACTGGGTATTAGATTTCAACTTACAGATAAGGTGAGCCAGCAGTTTTCAGAACAAAGCCTGTTCTGAGTCACGAAGGCCTAAACCGTGAGCATGTTCTAGAACAAAATTACTCCAGCTCATAAATCAATTTTAGGCTCGGGATGGCAGAAAGGAAAAAGTATTTTTTTGTATATGTATGTTTATGTATACACATACACACACACACACATATATGTGATATAAAATATATATAGAATAGCATTTCTCGGGAAAAGATCTTGTTCTAAATAGATAAAAACTTAGCTAATGGCAAGATCAGCTCAAAGTACTAGAGTTGACTCCTCCAAGTTAACCAAAGAACTACTATGAACACTTCCTTAAGAACTTCTCAAATACAGAAAAAACAGGTAAATGTACACTACTCCTTTACTTTCAGGTCTGAATATTAATTAATCCTAAATAAAAAGGGAATTGCAATTAGTGTGTTTTGGATATACTGAGGTCACATTATGTTTGTCATTTTATGGAGGTAACGTAAAGGCCACCAGTAGAAAAAAGAGAAAGTCAGAATATATGCACGAGGAGAAAACATAATTGAAGATAAAGCACTTCTGAGATGGGTATAGGTAAAGAGTGGAAGAAAAATCAGAGAGGATTTCTCCAACTTAGCTTAGTCCTGCAATGTCTATTCATACAAGCCAAGAAAAACACAACAGCTATAATAGTTCAGCTGTTTGATAAGACAACATGTAAAACATTTTTTGGTAACAATAATCAGTATGAGAATTTTCCAATTTGGCAAAAACAACCACAAACACACTCAGCTCTGAATGTGCACATGTGAATTATTAAATCTGGGCACTGCTACAACTCAGCACTCTTCGTACTCCCCCAGTAAGCTTAAGATCTGATTTTTTTTTCTCTCAAAAGAATCTCTTTTCCTGATTTTTCAAGGAAAGTAAAAAAGGCATCTGTATGCTACTACTTGTTAAACAAGGAGGCTCTGGTAGTCTAAATTTAGGACTGTGCTGTCAGCCCAAAGGCCTGTGGTTCAAACCCACTAGCTGTTCTCTGGGAGAAAGATGGGCAATCTTTTCCCTGTGATTTATTGCCTTTAAAAACCTGCTGGGGGGTCAGCTATGAGTCTGATTTCTGACTCAATGGCACATAACAACTTATGAAATGAGTTTCCTAAGAGATGCACAGAGTTTAATGTTCAATGACTAACCGAAAGGTTGGCACTCTGAATCCACCCAAGACGAACTGAAGAAAGCCTGATGAACAGTTCTACTCTGAAACAAAAAAGTGACTATGAGTAGAAACAGATTCCACAATAGCTGTTCTTTTTTTAAAATCTGTGTTCTTTTTTTAAATTGCGTATGGTTGAGGCAGAACTGACCCATAGCTGACCCTCCAGCAGGTTTTCAGAGGCAGTAAATCGCATGCCCATCTTTCCTGGTAGAGTAGCTGGTAGATTCAAACTGCTTGTCTTGCAAACTACAAGGATGGGAAAGGCTGGATGGGGAACCTACAGAGTAAAAGAGAAGTAAAAAAAATAAAAAAAATGCAAGTGTAATGCCATCATTTGCCTCCTGATCCAAATGTACTAAAAACAAAATAACACTTGTAAGGAAATTAGAAATCTGAATACTCTCATTATTTTACA